AATTTAAAAATCTGAAACTTTCATAGTAAATTTTCCATATAATAAACTTTAACTGTACTTAGTACTATTTTTATTGTTATATTAATGATAAGAAGTTTTACTATGTGGTCCGATTGGTAATTATTTTCGGATTGATTTTTTAAAAGTGATCGACACAGATTTGAAATAGATAAAATTCGTAAATGATTGACAAAAGTTGTGAACTCTCGATATAAGAAATCCCACCTGTGAAACTGATTTCTTATAAAAATTACTGCAATTAGTCACATTAAATTGTATTATATTACTATTTCCGGGTAACACTGAAATTTGAAAATTTCTTTTATATTACATTTCTATGGAATATTTACATTTAAATTATACCTCTATTACTATAATATTAATATTTATAAACTATTAAAACTATTGATACATATTATTATATTTAGTTCATCCAGATTTTTTATTCAATTATTAATTAACAATTGTCAAATTAGAATTAAATTATAGCAATAAATAATAAAACTAAAATAATTATATATCAATTACATATTTATTTATTGTGGATAATGGTAGCGATAAATCATAATTGAAATCATTATTGATTAGTGAGTGATAGCAAAATAGTAGTATAAGAAAATTGTATCGAAAATTTTTATTTAAATTCATAGGCTATCGAAAAATTCAAAAAAAAAAAATAGATATTTATATGGTAGGATTATATTATTCCTTCACTTAATTTAAATTATAGAAAGAAACGAATTGCTAAATAATAACCTTTTATTTTCATAAATAATAATAAAATATCAATAAAATAAAGTAAAAAAATACAAAATAAAAATGAATGTTATAAGTCTTTAATTATTTCTTTGGTGTAACTTTGAAAACTTCAAATTCTTCAACTGAAAATTTATTATTATTAGAACGAATTTGCTTTTCATAATTAAGAGTTCTACAATAGCTCTGCTTCCCAATTTTTAAATTGCCGCGTAAACATAATGCACCGCCAAACTGTAAAAATGAATTGCTTGAATTGTAATAGATAGCCTTGATAAAAAATGTCACTCTACTTACAATGGAGTTTTCCAGATTTTCAGTTTTCAATGAAAATGCAAAACTATCTTGACTATAATACCACCCGATATCATCGTTATATATTTCAAGAGGATTATAACCACCAATGATTTCTCCCGTATCTTCCACTTTTACAAAAACAACTGTGTTTGATACTCCATTACAAATTTCGAAAATATTTTTAACGTCAAATCCATCTTGACTTCCTCTAACAAGCAATTTAAATGCATATGGATTGTTTTCAGTATAAGGAGTTTCTTTTCTGTCAATCCAAGAAGAAATTTCTAAGAAATGCTCATCATTAATAATATAAGAAGGAATTGAGGTCAAGATATTTCGAGGTGGTAATATTGTTGAAGAAATTGGTTCATCAGGAGCCAGAAATTTAGCATTGATATCTAGCAACAGCTTAATCTCAAATAATTGTTGGTAAGGATAAAGCTTTTTTACCACCTGTTCACCCGAAATATTAAAATACCTAATATGAGGAAGACAATGTTTCAAAGTTGTTTTTAAAGTTAAGAAATTATCACTTGTCCATTCATTAAGATTTGCTGGCAAATTTTGGTTTTTAGCCTTTCCCCATTGAATTACGTAATCCCAAATTTTATCTTCTTCCAATTGTAAATCGTCCAATCTAATGATGGAAATCAATACATCTTCACGAAGGGAATTAAAATTCTCTGACTCAAAAATGGAATCAGGATATTTGGAAATTATATTATTACAAAAGTTTTGAATTATATCGAAGTTTTTTTGAAAACTTGATTGATAAACGTGAGCAAAATTTAACCTTAACCATGAGGCATTGTTGGTACAAAGATGAGTTTGGAGATGCTCAACTAATTCATCGAGAACAAATTCATGAGAAGCAATAAGGAGGTCAAAAATAATAGAATATTTTAATTTTTCTAACGAGATTGTTCCACCATAAATGTACCTAAATTATATATTAATATTAAAATATTCATAAATAAATTACTAAATAATTTTATAGAACTATGCTTACCTGATAATGATATTAAATACTTTAGTAGAAATATTAAGAATTTTTAACTCTTTGACATGATTTTCGTTGAAAGGAGATTCATCAAATTTCTTTTTAAAATAAGAACTACGAGATTGCAAAATGTAAGAATGAACTTCAAAAAATTTTCTGACTGGTTCTTCACCAACTTCAATTCTGACATTATAATCAACAGGGTTTTCAAGGAGTTTAGTAAGGTCGTTTGATAAACGGTCATAAAATTTTGTAGTCATTTTTATTTAGTGAAAAATAAAAATTGAAGATATGAATAAATCGGAAAAATTGATATCGAACAATTGGCAAAATATAATTGGCTTACAATGTCAATCATATAATCACAAGGAAATCAAGCAAACTGAAATAGTTATAAAAAACGATGCTTAAAATATCGAAATAATATTTAAAAAATAATCTATCACATTTTTATTGTTCTTGTTATTGTTCTTGTTAATGTTCCAAATAAAGATTAAATTATATGATAAATAATCATAATCTTAAAATTTACAAAATAAAAATGAATACTATTATTTATTTGGTGTTAAAACTTTGAAAATTTCAAATTCTTCAGTTGAAAATTCACTTGCATTAGAACAAATTTTCTTTTCATAATAATCTGTGCCATAAAAGCCATCCTTTCCAATCTTTAAATTTCCACGTAAACATAACACATGACCAAATTCCAATTATTAATATCCTGAATCATAATAAATAGCATTTCACTTTACTTATAATGTAGTTTTCGGGTTTCAGTTTTCAATGAAAATTCAAAACTATCTTTACTATAATACCATTGTTCATAAAATATTATATGTTTCAAGAGGATTATAACCAAATGATTTCTTCAGTACATTCCCCTTTTACCAAAACAACTGTATCTGATACTTTATCATAAATTTTAAGAATCATTTTAACTATTTTAACTACATTATTATCATTCTCTAATTCAATAGCTTTAATTTATCAGATTATTAAAGATCTTTTGACAATATACTTTCATTAAATTATAATAGATTGTTTGCGAAAAAAAAATAATATATTTATGAAAACAGTATGAAAAGTGAACATTCATTTATTTATAAAAATAATGAAAGAAATAAAAAAGATATCTACAAACATGAATACTTTGCATACTTAACTTCTACTAAAAAATATTTTATTAAAGGACTTATTCAAACTTCCTAAATTTTCACTTTCATCTCCACTATCCATTCGATCAGATAAACTTGGTAGTCACTTTAAATTTTTTTTTCTCTCCCTCAACTTTTAAACTCGAATTTAATAAACAATAAATTTCCCCCTAACACCCATATTTCTACAAAACGCAACTTCCTACTATAAATTATTATTATTATTATTAAAAAGAAAAAACCAAAGTTAATTGTCATCAAATAATTTTTATTATAATAATAACTTACCTTTTTCAACTTCTTTTTAAATTTTATCTCAGCCTCAATTTCCAATTTTCTACTTTCATACTCTTCTTCCACTTTCTCTTCAGCTCATTCTTGGTTTTACGGTCTTCAGAATATATTTTAATTTTTCGAGAAATTAGGTATGAGATGGTTGTATGGATTTTTTTCAAATTTGAGGGAAATGGTTCCTATATTTATATCATCCAAGGAATTATTTGATTAGTAAAATCAAAAAAAAAAAATACAATTTCCTTGTTGTAATACAATTTTCAGTGAATATTGAAATTTGAAATTCATCTCTATGGAATATTTATGAACAATGCCTATAACTTTAATTAGAAGCGCTTTTTATAGTATCTAGTGAAAACCTGGACTTTAATTAGACGCGAATAAAAGCAGCCGAAATTTTTTAAAAATTTTAAAAACAAAAAAAAAAATCCGAAAATAATTGTCAATCGTTTCTTCATATAAAAATTTTTTATTTGTTAAATTACTAACAAAAGTGGTTCAGACATATTTAATTAAAATTGAGCGAATAATTAGCGAATAAATTCCGGGAATAATTTCGAACGTTCGGCGTACAGCCGTTGATATTATTAATTAGTAATATATTTGTTTTTATTAATAACTAATGAACTTTAATATGTAGTAACTTTTGCTAATTATTTTCGGATTTTTTAATATCAAAGATAAATGATCGACAATAAATTTGCCCACCGCTAAGGCTTTATTGTTGATCATTTTACCGTTGAATTCAAAAAATAATTATCAAAAGTTAACAAATATATTACAATTAATCTTATAGCTAAGAATTGTGAGCATCTTTAATAAATTTTTTGGAATTTGCTTCGAATTAAATTTAATATCAACGAGTGAACACTGGACGATCAAAATTATTCTCTAGAATTCAATAATTAATTATTCACTCAATTTTAATTAAACATATCTGAATACTTTACATAAGATTCTATATATTCTCAGCTTTAATATTGCTTAGTATATTTTTATTATCATATTAATAAAGAAAATACTTTTATATGTAGAAACGATTGACAATTATTTTCGGATTTTTTTATTTTTAAAATTTTTAAAAAATTTCGGTCATTTTTATTCACGTTTAATTAAAGTCTAAATTTCACTAAATACCATAAAAAAGTGTTTCTAATTAAAGTTATGGGTATTGTCCTTGGCTACAATTTTATATAGGATTGTTGTTATCTATCTTTAAAATTCATCGAGTCCGGTATGGGTAACGTTAAAAGATCAAATTCTTTATTTTTGTCAATTTTATTTGAAGCGTAATTTCTCTATGTATAGACATTCAATTTTAATACAAAATATGATAGCCCTGATTTAGGGAATCTAATAAAAAAAAGTTTAGCAATTTAGATCACTCGCTGTGTCGCAATAAGCACTTTAATTTTTGTGATTTTTTTATTAAATTTTGCTTGCCCCATGACTTTTACACCCCACTGTACTTGCATCATTAAATATAAATGATTTCAAAAATGAATTCAGAAATATGGGCTATTAGTGAAAACAATACAAGTGTAGTTGAGGCTGCGCTTTCTTTAGCAAATGATGAAGGAAAACAACTCAAATTATTAAAAACAATGATTACTTTCGTTGATTATTATTTATTTTTATATGAAATATCGTTAGAGGATGTAGAATTGATCAAAAGCATTATAAATCATTAATACGCAAAATAAATTTGGAATCCCTTATTCAAGACGTGATAATGGAGAAATTAAAAAAAAATACAAAGTCAATTACACGAAAAGTTATTTCCGAATATTTAAAATATTTATTTACAATAATGTCTATGTTAAAAAATTAATAGTAATAATTCTGTAATTTAAATTTAGATAGTGCAATACTCAAAATAAAAAAGTTTTAGAGAATATAACAAATACTATCAAAGAAAATTTAAATGAAAAAAGGAAACAAATTCAATTAATAATATTAAAAAAATAAAGATGAAATATAAATAATGAAATATAAATAATGAAATATAAATTTTGAATTAGAAGAAAAAAAAATGAATCTGAACTTCAAATTCTTGCTCAGGAAGTTGCAACCGGAAAAGCTATTGCTAAAGTTTTAGAAATAGTGAATTTAGAGAAAAAAAAATTAGGTTTATTATAAAATACAATAACGTGAGTGCATGTAATAATTTATTTTTTATAAATGAATAAAGATAGCATAATAAAATTTTATTAGTTTCCGAAACCCCATGATCGATAAGCATAATTCACGAATTTCAAAATTAAATACATATATAAAATTCACGATTAATTGATTGCGTTTTTTTTTCTAATAGTAGAAGAACAAAAACCAAATGTTACAGATGTTATAATCCATGCTAAGATAAAGATAATAAAATATTTCTAGTGAATATTGTGTAGACTAACGATACATAATCGTCAAATATATTAGAAAGAATAAAATTATTTTATCTTCAATCTTATTCGCTTCCCGTCGATCACTTGTACCAAATATTCCCACAGTAGAGAAATACGATTTTTCACTGTAGTTACATATAAAACTT